ATCCGTTAATATCCCGCCAAAATCTGTTTACATGTGACACCATGTGACCTATAATTTTTTTTTAAAACCCAATATTACCCTCCATCCTTCTACTCAATTTCCAGTGCTCTAATAGCACTCCGACTGAACCCAAAATTCTAATTTCTTCTCTAGTAGCATTTCGGATACAACAACTACTGAAGAAGGATTTCAGCAACAATCTTCTACAAGCTTAGGGCTTTTATCTGCACTCTTCTACAAGGTTCTTTAAGTCCAATGGCATCCATCCTAAAGAGGAGCTTGGTTTCAACTTCTTTTTTTCTTTCTCCGGCTTCTCTTTTCCTCTCTCTCTCTCTCTCTCTCTCTCTCTACTTCCCCTCCCTTTTCTATCATTGCCATTGTAACTCATTGCAATGGTGGATCTGAACACACTCCTTCTTCCCCGACCACTTCTCAGTTCTCACTCTCTCATTCTCTCATTTCTCTCTCACTCTCTCTTACTGTCTCTCTCCTCCAATATGAGGACCTTGTTCACCTTCTTCAACCTCTCGACACAATGGTGGTACCCAGTTTTATTGTTCACTGTCTTCCCTATTGTGACACCGAGCAAGGCGGCAGCAGCCTTTTCTCTCTCCGATTTCTTCTCCTCTCTCTCTCACACACACACATTTCCTCAGTCTTTGTTCCTCTCTCCTTACTTTCTTTCTCATCTTCATTTTCTCGATCTGTCAACAAAACACCAACCCCCTATTTCCTTCCATCCACCTCCCTCTGTTCTTACCCGCCACTACAACCACTTGTAGTGATAGTGTTCTCAGTGTTGGGAAATGGGGTCTCTGAAAATTGGAGAAGCTCTGAGGTGCATCTAAAGACACTGTCTTTAGAACGTTATTTGCCCCCACTCAGTTTCGTTGAGTTTGCTATTGGGTTACAGGAAAATCCGTTCCCAAGATACAATAGAGCCTTGGGCGAGAATCTACATCCAACAAAGTTAAAGAGTCTCCAAAGAAACCTTCTGTGAGACAGTAGCAAATTGGACTGAGAGAGAGAGAGAGAAAGTGATTTTTGAAATTGTGTTGCATGTGTCGAATACTTGATTCACGCTCCTTAAATAAATTTTGAAGAGTCATGGAGTAGAGGAAGGTGTTGGTTCAAAAAAGGCTCATTGGGCATTGTTTTGGCATCCATGTGTGTTTCTTTCTCCTTGTGAAATCTCCGGTTCGAATGGGCCAGGTTTATGCTTCAAAGAGAGAAACTGAGGGAGATAGGACGCTGAATAGGAATAATTAGGGTTTCAGTCTAGGAATCTACCTTCAATACCCATGACATTGGCTCTTTCAAGAACCGGCTACCTTCAGTCCCCATGACACTGGCCAGTGTTCTCTGTTTGCCTGTGTCATTGCTTGATTGTTCACTATTACCATAGCTGGTTGGAAGTTGCAGCAGTAAGAGTTCCTCTCTCTAACGATGGCGGTGGGTATCCCGTTGATAGAAGATTTAGTAGAAGGGTAAATCTGACATTTCTGTTAGGATTTAATATATCAGAAACAATGGGGGTGGTTTAAGATAATAATTAAAGAAAAAGGGTAGAGTTAGTCAATTAGTTAAGCAGTAGGATAGTTTAAGAAATTTGCACTAATGGAATTGACTAAGGAGGTTTAAAAAATTGTGTAGGGCACAAATAAGATGAACTGGGTTGAGCTGATATTTGTCATTTATGTAGGCATATATGTTGTTTCGGTTTTCTAATTGGATTAAGCCTATTCAAACGGTATTAGAAACTACACTAAACCATAATAAAACAGTTCGATTTGATATGGACTAAGAAATTCTCAGACAATGTTTTATATTGGTTTGGTCTGAAATCTTTCTAAATCATATTGAACAGGACCATAAACACCTCTATACTAAAATACTACATATAGCATGTAGACCTAGCAAAAAGTTGATCCAACCTATGAACCTGACCTAACCCAACCCGAAAAACAGGGTTAGGGTCTCATATTTGGCTACCCAAATGTGAAAATGACTCAACCCGACCCAACCCGAAAGAAACTGGGTTGGGTTGGGTCATAGGTCAACCCGCTAAACCAATTGTCAAGTCTAATTGGGATTATTTATGCATTGCTAGAAGTTTCCACTCTTTAATCTTTTCTATTTAGTCTTTACTTTTATTGTTTACTCTTTAAATTGTTAAATGATCAAGTTTTTTATTTTATATTAGAATTTTAAGGTTAATTTTTTTAATTTTGACATTTTTCATATAGTTTTTCTTTATTTTTTTAAATTTCAATTATTTTTTGGGATGACCAGAATTGACCCATGGGTCAACCCTAACCTGAACATTTAAGGTTAGGGTCTAGCATTTGACAACCCAACCCGAAATTCAAGTCAACCCGAAATCAATCCAAAGTACCTTGACCCAAATCAAACCTGACCCACCCAACCCAATTGCCAGGTCTAATAGCATGTAATGATCAAGTGCAGATTGACACCCCATATACATATCTCATAATCTCACAGTGCATTGGGAACATTTCCCCCTACTTGTCATGGAGAGATGCTTCCAATACACAGTTGGGATATGGCGCCCATGGTACGCGCTCTGTGGGGGTGCCAACCTGAACTCGTAACGATCTAATTCAGTTTTAGCCTTTTAGGAAAGGGAAAATATGTGTTTAGGGAAATAAATGGTTCAAGTAGTGAAGGCTCGTGAACGCCCAAGCTCAGCTCAAAACCTAAAGATATTAGCACAGACTTAAAGCCTTCCTTTTTTAGCCCAACCTAAATTAATCGAAATCGAACAACCAATTAGGTCTAATCTATCACCTTATAGAGCGTCAAGAATTCAAGTCAGAGTTAACCATCATTGACTGTATGGAAAAATTCAATAGTCAGACATTTTATATGTTTTACAAAATATTGAATTGATGTCCTTTTGTGTATCAGATTTGTTTATGGTTGTCTCAGTAAAAATATCTTGTACCCTGATGAGGCTAGCTTAGGACTGGTTTTATCTGAAGAAAAGCTTGGGCCTAAGTTGAGTTGGACCGGAGGTGGAGAGAGAGAGAGAGAGAGGGAGGGAGAAATGTTGCAAGATTTTGATTGGACCGAATGGTAAGACCAATGGAACTGAGTGGTAACCATTTTCTTTTTTCATTGCCTGAATCTTAAAAACATTGACTTGGTTAAATTTGCTCAAATTACATGTACTAATATATATTATAACCTCTACTATTTATTAATTTAAGCTTTTTTGCACATAAAATAACTTCAAAGATGGTTTGGATCCATTTTCTAATTTTTTTTTTTTATTTTTTTTTACTTTTCTCAATTATTGAATGAATCAGGACCCGTTTTAAAGGGATTTTACATTGATTGAATCGCTTAGGAGAAGCTAATTAAGACAGATAGCTTCACCCGAAGGTCGATTTTTCTATTCATGGAAATCTATTTTCAGCACAAACAGGACATCATGGCTGTCTGGGTGTGTACAAGCCCTCCCAAAAAACGAGTTTGGCTTCGGCCAGTGCAAGCCCATGCTTATACTATTTCAACAGTCTCTTGCAATTTTGAATTGGGAATATCTTCCTATGAAATAAAGCACATAAGTACGAAGATATTTTCAATGCAAGACTATAAAGACTGTTCGAACGGATGTTGCAATGACCAAAGCCGAACTGCTCCAAAACAAAACTGGATTCAGTAAAGGTAAAACCGGTTCTAGTGGCCTTTACTGCCTTGCATTAAGAATATCCCCATACTTATATGCTTTATTTCATAGGGAGATATTCTCAATCCAAGATTGGAAAAGGCTGTAAAAATGGTGTGGGCACAGGTTTACCCTGATGGAAGCCGATCTCCTCCCAAACGGGCACTCAAAAGCTTGAAATGCTCAATATCTGGTCAACCCATTGAACCGAAGACCAAGTCATCAGAACGGTTCTGTGTCCGGTCCCTGAAGATCAATGGTAGGTAGTGCCAGGGTTCCTGGCAGTACCGTACCCTTGTTTGGAAAAGACAAAGACCAAGCACTAACACCCATGTTTAGCTGTTTAGCTTGAACTGTCCTTTGTATTTTAGGGGTACCATACGGTAGTGTTATCATTGCTGAATACAAAATAGATGTATATATAGACAAGGGAATTGGGTCATTCAGACAAGTCCAAAGAATACAATAATCTGCTTGTGGATGGCATGGTGGAGGCCTTAAAAAAATCTAAAGACAAGAACATTTTTATGAATGAGCCATATGGGACTGAGAAATCCCAGCCACATTTCCGGCCCTTATTTCTAGGAATTCTTGAATTAAAATACCTAAGCATTCACTTGCGAATGGCTCCCATAGGATTCTAGGCTGTAAAACTGAAATTAGATAACCCATGGCGAAGGACAACCCAAAGAGGCAGAGATCGCTTTTGGCCCCATCTGATGAAACCCATTTGACTTGATGATAGAACCAAACTGCCCATGGATTGATTGCTAGTCTCAAGTGTCTCAGTCTGCTACTGCTTTAATGGGGCTAGTTGTGCCGGGCTGAGCTTCAACTTAGAGAAGCAAGGCACCGCCCAGGCCCTGCCTGCGCTCACATGTGCCATGAATGCGGGTTCCATAAATCCAGTCGACTTGGACTGCAGGAATCTGCATTGAATGCTGGTTGCTCTGCAACTGCAAGAGCTACGCAGGGGTTTCAGTAATATTATGTTTTGGGTATTGACAAAAAGACAATCTCGATTTGCACCGTCTCAGCAGTGGGTGATCCCCAGGATTCATTTCCGTTGGATGAATCTCATCCATGTTCTTAATTGGGTTGGGTTAGTGAATCCACAACCTGAAGCTGGTTGGGTCCAGAATTTCCACCCAATAGAACACTGCAAAACAAATTGCTAAAATGGACCTTCTGGTATATGTGTGTGAGAGAGAGAGATGAGGGAGAGAGATTTAAGACTCCAAGAACTGCCATTAACTTCATGAAAATTTAAGACATGGGTATAAAGGCAATCACACCAAAGATGAGTCTATGTATCAGAAAGGAAAAAGAAATTGTAGAATAGAAGATGAGATCTCAGGAAAGTTCTTCAGTCCTACAAACCACCATACTATGGCCAAATTAAGAAAAAGAAAAAAATACAAATCCTTTGTACAGAAAACTGAAGCTCTAGATGAAAAATGACTGATAATCTCAGTCATACCTCCTGCACTTCCAAGCAGAAACTGAAAAAAGGGCTCGATCTTGCCAGCAGATCACTAAGCAGCCATTCTCTTCTTTGATCTTATATCCATCACAACCATAGCTCTGCAACAATCTCCTTGCCTGCAATTGACCATAGTAGCTAAAAGACACCCTTCGAAATCCTGCTGAATGGAGCCTCTTAATCCACCTCTCAAGCTTCTCGTGTCTCTCCTTCCTCTCAGCCCCCTCACATGCTATAATGTTCTTAATCTCCTCCCCAAACAGCATCTTCTCCACCTTCATTCGTTCTACTGATGCCCTCGACACTGTAGACTCAAGGCAATCAAAAAGTGATGCATAGAAGTAAAGTGACTCCAAGAGTCTATCCATCAGGGTTGATCCATTATGGTTTGATTCTTGCTCGGCCACAACCATGAGCTTGGGAGATAGGCCCCATAGAGCTGCGAGGAAGCCCTCCATCTTTGCCGAAGCAGGTAAAGATAGTGGGGATGAAGAGGCTGAGTCGGTATTAGGACTGTAGCCATTGACCAAATCTTTATCAAGCAATTCACCTATAGTGTTCTGTCTCATCTGCAGGACTCTCTGCAAAGGATGAGCTATGCTTATGCTTTTTGATGCTGGTGCAAGAGCCTCTGATGGTAAGAGGCAATGCAATTGGAGGAGAGAACTGATCGCAAGAGCCTCTCCCGTCTTAACGCGAAGGCTTTCAACATCAAGATTTTCCAGTTTGCTAACTATTGGGTTAAATTGAAATGGAAGGTCCAATTTTTCAGCTTCTTCTGTCAAACGAAGAGCTGTTTGTTCCAAAACCTCTTTATGTTCATGAATGCCGGTAATTCTCAAATGGGGTGGACCTTCAGGCCGTGCACTCAAAGATTGAATGAGGGCAATCCATTGTGCAGGCTCAACACAGTGGAGATCAATGATGTGAACCATCTTCTCTCCTTCCATGGATTCTATAATAGCTTGATTGGTGGTCACTATTGCGAGCTTTAAGAAGGGACATAGCTCAAAGAACAGTTTTCGAGCAAGAATTCCTTCAGAGATTGAGGATATCCTTGTAGAATTAAGGGCTTTGTGCAAACCAGGCCATGCCTTGAGAATCCGGTCAGCAAGCGCCTCGGTGAAGTAGGCAGCAATGCGCTGCATGGTGTCACCATCAGGAGAAGCAAGGTGGGAGATCTGCTCGAGAGCAATATTTGCATGCTCAAGGTTACCAGCAGCTACATGATTTGTACAGGACAATAGGAAATGGATCAGACACAAGCCTCTCTCCTCGGATTTAAGCTCCTTGAGCCAGGGATAAGGTGATCCTAAGTTGGGGGGAAGTGACATCAGTGAGAAGAATTGAAGAGGTGATGAAGTCACAGATGATGATCCCTCATCTTGAACCATTCTTGTCATTGAACTGTTCCAACAAGCTTTCTATTCTGAGGAAACGGAGGTGAATAAAGTTAATTGGGTATGGACTTCTTCATACACCCGAAATGAATTTGTAGACACTTCCAATAAAAAAATGGATGGATGATTCTCCAAACGTGAGACTGAGGAGATTTGATTCTCTAAATGGAAAAGCAGGCAACTTCAGAAAACTACCATTGCAAACATTGAGATTAATGAAAACATGTTCTCAGGCTTTCAATGAAATGTGCAAAAAAGGTAGTTGCAGTTAAGAACAATAACAGTTGAAGGAACTACCAATTATCCAGGTTTGTGAAAGAATTCCAAGAGCATCCAGGTTTGTGAAAGAATTCCAAGAGCAGGAACATATACCTCTAATTAGACAAAAAATATCAGAAATCAGAAGTCACGACACTGACTCAAATGGGTATCTTATCGTTGGAGAATTCGAACGAAACTCAAAAGGAAATTAAACAAAAGACAGCTGAGAGAGCAAAGAACACTACCAGAAATGGCTCAGTAATTCCTCTTAACTCAAGCAGCAGAACTGACCAACAACGTCCAGAACTGCAAACCCCAACTGGGTTTTTCAAATTCATCAAAAACCCAGAAAAGGCCACATAAAGAAAACTCCGGTTGCTTCCTCAGATCTCTAGGTATTCAATCAGAACGGTTACAACACAGGTTAGGGCTTCTTGTCTTTCTAGGGCTTGTTGCAGGAGTCAGGCAGGCAGGAGTCATTGAATTGAGGCTCTGTTTCGAAGGACTTTCGTTCATGGTTGCGTTGGCGACAATGCGAGAGTGTTGCGTTTTTGTCGTTTTTGATTTGGTGTCGTTTGGGATTCTGAGGAATTTAGAATTTGTGAGAGAGCGCGCCCTCTCCCACAACTCTGTAAAACACACACACTCTCTCTCTCTCTGTTTTGTCTTCACATTACGTGGATGAAGAATAAAGGCTGGCCAAAACTTGTTATTATTCCTTATCGATACTACCATCGAAACGTGCCTCAACAAAACAAAACAACACCCCTTACTTTGTTGCTTTGTGCCTCTGTGGGGATTGCAAGAAAGCCTTCTCAAATGCCTCCAAAACCATCATTTGTTTTCTCTCTGACACAGAGAGCATCCAATTGTTATCATCCTCTGATATCAGGACAAAGAAACAATGAACTTGGAGAAAAAGCAAAAGGTAGAAAGCACATTTAACTTTCTTACAACCAAATCTGACTGAACCCTACGTGCTAATCCATGGAAAAACCCTAGCTTCATTCCTTAAACCCATATATTCCTTAAATTCAATTCCATAATATACACTGTTCTATATTATAAATCTTGATTATGCCATGCCATCGTACCCACTGCACACAGAAACCTCATAGAGGCTGAATCCCCTTTTTCCCTCCGGGTCAACATGTCAGCGGTCCAACCATAAATGTGTCATCATTATAAATATTTAAAAATATGGCAACCCTATTAATTGGATGAAACGGGTCAATAATTGAACCATATGGAATTTTGGTCTCCAAATCAATGGCTTTTGTTTTTTAAAAATTATAATGGGTTACATGGTTTTCAAAATCAGATTAGATCAAATGGTTGGACCGGTTAACTCTGGCAATTGGTCCCATTTCACCTTAAAACTTTTGTGGGTCAAAACAGTTGATTTGGTCAGTGATCTGCTGACTTGGGCTGTCGAACCCTCAACCTGTCGATCAGGACAACGACTCAACATGATCAAGCCACATCATCCCAGGATGCATGTCGACCTGCTTGGTCACTGCTGCCATTTGTAACACATACGTGTAGAGATTAGTGATTGATTTAACTAATGATCAACCAAGTCATCCATCAGTCTTAGCTAAATTAGATGGCCGTGATTATACAGCCACACTGAATCTGATTTGGTAACTAATCTCTCCTAAGTGGGATCCCACAAAAGAAAAAACTGCCAACAAAAATGCCTGGTAGTGGTAGGTACATTATAAGATTGCCATGTATGCTACATGGGCATGCATGATGTCCCACATGGACTTAATGGTACCATTGTACTCCCTCAAGTTGCATCATACAGATACTCATTTGAACCCGTATATGAGACTTTTATACATAGGGGTGTTCACATTAAATGTCATATTAATTAAACCGTCCCGACTCAATTCGAGTTGATTGGTTTTGGTTTGCATGAGAAAAGTAAACTAACAATTCGGTTCCAAAATTAAATCGAACTGAACTGAATTGATCTAATATGTTTAAGTAATTATTAATTAGTCGCTATTCAAATATGTTAAATGTTGATATATTTTATGTGTTTTATTTGAATTTAAAAAAAAATGGTTATTTATGATAAAAACTGAAAACATAAAACCAATACAAATATAATATAATGGTACAATATTTAATTCAGTTTTGTATAAATTTAAGGCAGAATGACGGTTCAGCCCAGGGTCAGAATTTGTAGGTTCAAAATACATTTGGGGTAGGTGCGAATTAGGAATTGATGCCAATTCACGGTCGGGTATAGATGCATAGAGTTTGGTTTTTTGACCTTTTAAATATTTATAGTTCTGCAATGGAAATCAGAAATCTGCATTGGGCCTGTCCGTACTTCTCTATAAATTAAAATATATATTGATAAAAAAATCAGTTTTGCATAAAAAATTAATTGATTTAAATATATATTTTGTTTTTGCATAAAAACTAAAAAGAAATAAGCTTAAATATAAATAGATGTTTAGTAATAGATATTTTAGTTTAAAATATAAATAAAAAATGACTAAACCGATAAATTGACCCAAACCGATCCTTCATGTTTGGGTTGGTTTTGCTTCAAGGTCGGTCGATGATGTCACCATCGTCATTGTCATTGCCGATGAACATCATATCCTCCTCCCCCTCTTCCTTCTTCTTCCCTCCATTTTTTTTCCTTTATCTCCTTCCTTTCATTTTTTTCCTTTCTCTCATTCATTTCTTTCTTCCTTTCTTGCTTTCTTTCTTTCCTTATTTTCTTCTTTCTTTCTTTATTTCTTTCTAAACCCACAACACCATAGTCTCTCTTTTCTTATAAAAGACTAAAAGTCTAAAAGAGTAACAATATTTGTCCTAATAATCCAAACCGTCTGAATAGTTTGACCTGAATGGTCGAACTGCTGACCCAAAAACTGGTGGTCACAGTGGTTCTGTTTCTAGGTTAGTTTTTTAAAACCTTGATTCTCACGTATGGACTAACTGGATTATTTCCTTTATCAAAATTACTAAGTGTGCAAGTACTATGTGGCAATTTTTGATAATGATGACCGTTGTTTTCCAAAATTATCTATATTTTTTTATATTTCTATGTTTATAAAAATAATTATTCATTATTACACTTATTTTTTCTAATATGATTAATTAATATAGGATATAATGAAAGAATGAAATCAATACCATTAATATAAGACTTAATGAGAAAGAATTGAATAAGGAGAAATACAATACTTCAAATTATATTTTGTGCGCTCACAATTAAAGGGGGATCAAATTCAAAAACATTTTAGGAGTCCAGATTTCTTATCCATGACAACTTTACCTTACCCACACCTAGCACATAACATCGCAGACACATATGGGGAACATCTCATCCTCTTACATGTTATTATGCATGGGGAGATGTTCTCAATGCATAGAGGTAGTGTTTTGTTGATAGGTGTGGGTAGAGTTCTTGTCGGTAGGAGATCTGGAGTCGTATTCTAGTTAAAAATATTATTCCAATAAATGTTAATGAAAATTAATACCTTAAAATAATACATAATGAGAGAGCTTTAAATAAAAAGAAAAGTGATTGTTCAATTACATTTCTCTATCATTTTAACTAGATAGCAATCAAATTCAAACAAAAATTTTCACTCTCATCCACACTTTTAATAGTAGTATAAATATAAATTGACAGTTTGGCACCCCTTGACCCAACAAGCAACAAATAATGTGAGTGTCGTTGGCTGTGCTTCTTCCAAATCCGGTCTGGTCCAGATTGAACCAAGCTGACCCAAGTTATACCCATTAAAGGAAAAGCTGATTAAGGTAATGTTTTTAACTTTTGTGGTGTTTGTTTAGGTTGGTTGGTGAGTGGTGACTTTGACAAAAGATGGTCATAACATGGCAAGGACTCATAGAAGGCTGTGGAACTTTATCGCAAGGGTCGTTGTTAGTATGTTGTCCCTAGTGGAAGAAGGTATCGTGTATTGTTAAAGTTGGGTGGATATTTACGAGGCCAGTTGGGACATTTTTGTAGGTTTCTGGGGGTGCGTTTCGACCAAAATTTCCATCCTCACCACTTTGGAATATAAAGCTTTTCATATTTAACCAGATTTGGTTGTGTTTATTGTGATGAGAAGAAACCCAAGAACCCATATAGGAGATGGGGACATGAATATATATTGGACAAGAAGATCAAAATCATGATGTGGACAAATACTGATGACCAAACGGTTTTCTGTGTTTGGATTCATAGAAAAGGGTCACGGGCTTAAAATTGTCTAAAATAAGACAATTTTGAGTGCAGCTTAAATTAAAAGTTCAAGCCAGAGATATAAAGGGAGTGGCTATTTGGCATTTTCTAATATCGTGGAGCTGCAAGACAGAGAGAATGGGAAATTGAGATTTTGTTTCATATGCAATTGGAACTTGGGGGCTGTTTGGTAACTGTTGAATTGGCTGAACTGAATTGTTTAGTGATTTGTTGGATAAAATTGGCATATGGTGTGATATTCACCACTAAAGTGATCATTCCAAAATACTATTCAAAGGCAAAATCTATGATTGATTGAAATCTTATTTTAACGTACAGTCAATATTAATGAATGCATCGTATTTGATTTCTTGTTTTAGAATGTCGTAATTGATTTTTTCAGTTAAAAAGCTTATATACCCTACTTTATTGCTTATTCACTAAAACATAAATCAGTAAAGAATTTAATTCAGCCAATTCAGTAACTCGGTTCACCAACCTAATTGAATAGGATCAAGGGCAAATTAAACAGACAACCCATAACCAAATCCCATCCTGGACCAAACCGCGATGATCAATCCAATCCAGTTTCTCATGTCAATTATGTTTTTGTACAACCTGTGCTGACTGCTGAGTCAATGTAGGGGCCTCAATTACCGAAAGAGAGTCTATGGGCCTCAAAATTACCCTTCTTTTCATTGGGCCGACAGGTTTGAAAAGACGAAAAGATTTTATAGGTGGGTTGATGCATGGTTTTCAAAACCGGACCGAAAAAATTAGGAATTGGTCATTTGACCAGTTTCGTTTTCCTCTAAAATCGCTCTATTCCCCAAAACTGTTGATTTTGATCAGCAAATCGCTGAACCAATTGGTTAACTGTTCGAACTGTTCGAACGGTTTTGACCGTTTTCCATTTTTTTTATTTTTTTTATTTTTTGTTAGAATGGGCCTGCCATTCGAGTCGAACGGTTGGACCATTTGAACCGGTACATCAATAGTAATAGTAATAATAATAATAATAGTAATAATAATAATAATAATAATAACTTTATTAAAACAAAAAAAAGAGAATTTAAATTTGCAACCTTACCAAATCAACTCTAGAAAGGGGATTGAAAGTATTTGGGGTAGTGATTCATATGTAGAGAAAACTTCAAAAGTAAACATTTTGATCAGAGTAACTATACGGATATTTTCATGCCTATTTTTAAAGGATTCTAACAAAAAGAATCAACTTGCAACTATGATTGAGTGGTGGCTCGATCGGCACGTAAACTAGTAATCCTACATGAGATGTGGTCTTGAGCTTCACTATCAACTCTCATCACATTTGAAAAGAGTTATTAATGTTGTTAGAAAAGTATTTTAATATGTCAAGAAAATTTGAATTATGGCCATTGTGGGGAAAAGGCGATTAATCAATAC